CCAACCTAAACGATTCTATGATTCTATGATTCTATTAAGGTGCCCTGGCCACGCAGGACATTGTCCTTCACAGAGAGCACTGTGGTTACCACTGGTGCGCATGCTCGTTCAGACAAGTGTTCGACTGTGATCTGGGGTGAGTTCTCCTGTTGCTCTCTGCTGACGTTTGGGCAGCTTTATCTCATTTTAATTTAGCCCCCTGTGTCAGAGTTCCTATGGAGTCAGAGGAGAGGAGCAGGCATTTCCAGGAGATGAACCATTTCTCCCTAGAATAGGCATGGGACATTAGTGGCATGCCCTGCCTGGTGGAAGTACCTACCCACTATAAAAGCAACTACTTAAGCCTACTGGCTAAAGGTGTCTGAAGTGAAGGGAGATGAATCCTGTCTGGTGGACCATAGGCGTAACTCTCTTGAGGTCTTCTACAAAGCTCAATCCAAAGCGCTGGCTGTTTTAGTGTCCCTGTCCTTTATCCCCACAGGTTTTCAAGCTGACGCGAAGCAAAGTGGATGATGACAAGACCAGGCTGCTGGTCCATAAATTGCTGGATCACCCCTGCTTGGTGGAGCTGAACTTGTCCCACAATCTCATCAAGAACAAGGGAGCACAAGCTATTGGCAAGTTGATCAACCGCAGCAGGTTAGAAACCCTCAATCTGTGTAACAACCAGATCCGTCACCTGGGGGCTCAGGCTCTTGCTCAAGCCCTGGCTGAGAACTCCACTCTGACCTCCCTGAATCTGCGCCTCAACTGTGTGGAGGACAAAGGCGGGGAGGCGATCGGCCGTGCCCTGCTGACCAACACCACCCTGAAGTCCATCCATCTTGGAAGTAATGACCTATCAGAGCCAACTGCTACACTTTTCTCCCAGGTCCTGGCTCAGAACACCACCCTGACGAGTATCAACTTCTCATGCAACTGCCTGGGGCTGGTAAGAGAAGCCCCTTCTCCCTGCAGTTTGTGAGCCTGCATGGCGGCCTTGCAGAGCAGATACTGAACCTGCCCTGCCTTGAAGCCGCAGAGGCAAATGCATCCCTCACTTTCCAGTCTTGCTGCGATAACAATCAGTTGCAAGCAGGGAAGAGACTCAGGCAGACAGCAGGAAGGAGTAGGACATCTTCTGTGCACACACACACATTTATCTCACTCATTACATCTAGCTCTCTTCACAGGGCTGAATCTGGCTTCCAGGCTTTGGGCTTTTGGGCAGAGAGGAATTTTTCTCCCAGGAAACTGAAAACCAGGGAGTATGTCTGAGAAAAATCACAGCCATTTCACACACGTGGGAGTAGATAATAATGATAGGTGGCCTGAGACGAGGGCCTTATGCATATCCTCTGTGCTTTGGATCTGCTGTGCCATCTGTCACTCAGCAGCACACAGATAGTGTCACCCTTCCCAGAATCCTTGCTGTCCATCACACTCTCAGAGGAGACTGCTAGAAAATTGGCTTGGTTGTTGAGCTCCTTTAACTCACCCTGCAGCCCTGGAGCAGTGCAGTAGGTCAAAAGTGTCACGTCTGGGTGCTTGTAAGTGGATCCTAAACCACAGGCTTACATTTTCTAGACAGAGGAGCATCCACAGATCTTAATACATCCCTAAGAGCTGCAGTGTGCAACATTCCCACAAACCAGAACTCTTCTCTTCTGCTGATTAAAAAGAGCTTTAGAAATCTGAAACTAGACAGCCAAATGCAATCATGCTGGCTTTTAAACTTTCTGTGCTGCCTCAATTTTTCCCACTGTCACAATAAAGAGACAGCAAGACCAGCTGTCCCTGCTGGCAGGAATATTGGCATCAATGTGTTTGACAACGGTTTTAAAAGGATTTGATGGCAGAAAACCTTCTGTGAGTTCTGAGTTTTGTGATCCTGGACGTAGAAAAACCATTTGAGTTTAATGATGCAAAGGGGCAAAGGTTGAAAAGGATAGAAGGATTTTTGTTTAGTAAATAATAATGTCTATACTTAGCATCTTCCTTCTGATGAGCTCTCCTGTTACCCATTTGTGAAGCTCAGCAGCAGCACCACCACAGCTGGTGGTATTATCTTTGAGGAAACGGGGGTCTTTGCTAGAGGTGCATCAAATTCTGCCCTCTGTACCCCATTAAAAAAGAGACTCCTTCCCGATCATTTTTGCTCTGTCCTTTTTGGCAAATAGTCTAAGAGGCAGGGTGCTGGGATGAGGGGACCACCTGGCTGGAGGAGGTGGGGGCAGGAGGCATATTTGGTACCTGAAAGAGAATAGCTGTAGGGGAAAAAAAGTCAAATTGTCACATCCCTAAAGACAGTGCTTCAGTAAGGGAGGGAGATGCCCCAAAGTGAGTTGCCTCCCTAAGGCTATCTACATTGCATTTTCTGTCCCATACAGGCTGGACTTCGGTCATGTGAGATGTTCCCCCCAGGAAAGCCAACCCAGCCTGGGAAATGGCATCCAGGCAGGAGACTGCCAGCACTGGGGCTCTCACCACCGCCAAGACGAGGCGCAGCACACTAATCACACTGCCATTTGTCCCCAGCCAGCAGTGAGCTGGGGACCAGGGGACAGGGGAGAGCAGAGATTCCTCTCAGGTTATCATCGCCAGCCATGCTATTAACCAGCCTGAGCTTAAGGACTCCTGACACGGTACCCAGAGGGAGTCATTAGCATGTGTCATATCACTGAGTGCTGCATAAGGTTATACTCCTTCCCTGTGTATTTCTCCTGTGAGCAACATTTCGGGCTTGGGTGAAGGCCTTCATCCCTTTTTGGCACGATCTTATGGGGTCCCCATCACTGGCAGCAGAAGTTGCTCTGGGGAGGAGGGAAAGGGAGCAATACACTTCACTTTTGGATTTCCTCCTTTAACCCCTCCTTCTCACCCATTTGCAGGATGGTGGGAAGCAGCTGCTTGACGGGCTGGTGGATAACAAGGCTTTGACTGAGTTCGACCTCCGCCTGACAGAAGTGGGCCAGGAGACTGAGTACCTCATTCACCAAATTGTGTGGGCCAACCGGGAAGCGGTGAGGTTGAGGTCTCTGCAGCACCCCCCCACCAAACCCCTCTGAAGAAAATGCTCCAGAGCAATGAGCTTTGCAGGTGCAGTGTTGGAGATTACTTTACTTCAGAGGCTTGTTTTTATTCATATTTCTGAGAAACACTCAACTTGTGGCCACCACCGCAGCCTTCCCCAGATCCCCATCATCCAACCTGTGTCTTAGCACGAGACAGACATTAGACCTCATGGGATTGTAGTGGCAGCACAGAAGCAATCTGCCTCTTGAGCCCTCTCTCGCACTGCACCCAAGACTAAATCCCACCTCCTGTAGTGTTTCTTACGTGCTCCGGCAGCAAGCTTAGTTCAGGCAGTTGGATGTTGTTCACCTGTAAAGCAGCTAAGGTGAAGTCTCCACCATCCAAATGGTCTACTCCAGATCTAACTTCCAGGGCAGGCAGCTCTTTTGGGCTTTTTGCTGTGGAGGACGTGAGATGCGTAGGGGATAGAGGGAATGTTGTTTCTAGTTCCTTGTCAGCTTTTTCTGGCTATTGCTCTGCTCAAGGATTTATGTGTTTTTATAGCAAAATCTGTCTGGTGTCTCAGATATGGGTGGTAAAAAGTAAAAAAAAAAAAAAAAAATTCAAGAAATTATAGGTCTCTCCACTGTGGTTTCCTGCTTTGGGTTGCTATGCCTTTGATCAGTGCTAGCCTGCTTTGCAAATGGGTGAATTCTTTACAACCAGATGCTTACCTTAACTAGTAGTGCTCTTCTGTGCAAACCTGTTAAAAAAAATCTGTGTTTCGCATAACTTCAAGCTAGAGGCATCCCTGCAAGACTGCTGGCCCACACAGCACACAGGGTTGAAAATGGAGCAGCCTCCTTGGACTTCAAGGAGAATCAAGCAGCTTCCTTCTGCCCCACAGGCTGTGGCTACCTGAGGACAGGACAGGGCGCGTACCTGATTGCCTCGGTCCTTCGACTGCCCCACTCAAGAGAGGTTAGCAGTGAATTAAGCAAGCGGGCTGACCTCCATCCCCTCCCGCCCTCTGAGCAACACAGGGGCTTCACATGTCTCCCAGCCCTGCCCAGCACCAGCACTCACAGACCCACTGTTGGCAGCCACCTCAGTGAATCATCTGAAACTTTTATTACACCGATTTGGTTTACAATCTTTGTACTTTGATATTTCCAACAAAAAAGGCAACATTGTGATATACTGTTTGTACATATAGAGAGAGACAGACAGAGCTAGATCATATTGACGGAGTTGAAAAGTAAAAACTGTTTCCCAGTGTTCACAAAAGAATTTGTTTGCCATGTACCTGCTTCTGCCTTGCTCTGTCTGATGGATACAGACACCTGCAGTGCCGCCGGCCCCCGGCCGACAGGACCTTTGCCTGTGCCATGTCACGCCCTTATAGATCAGAAAGGATGGAGTGCGAGGCTGTCTCTGGCTGCGGTGGTTGCGTGAGGGGCGCCAACAGGGCTCAGCCCCAAGCCCTCGCAGGTTGTGTAGCTCCCTTCCCAACTATTTATGGATGTTCCAGGGGCTATGTCCACAAGAAAACTTAACCAGCGGCAGCAGCTGTGAAACCTCCCCACCTGGGCGTCTCCCACTACTTGTTTCCCATCCTCGAGACCGAGGTATTGAATAATTTATTTCTTTTTATTTGCATTTACAAAATATTTCCACTGAATGACACACCTGAATGAGATGAGAACTTGTGTTCAGAAACAGCAGAAAAGACCCAGATCAGCATCAGGCTGATGAAGGAACAGCTCCAGCAGCGAGGGTGGGGTGGGGGCTTAATGGGGGTGGCCTGGTCCTGGGCAAGCCTGCCTGTAGCTCCAGGTACAGGGCTGCGTCTGGTCAGCCAGTTGTGCAATGAAAGCTCGTGCTGGGAGGGCAGCGATGAGATCCCTTGGACATGCTAGCAGACACATGAGGAGGAATTGGCCACCAGAGCCAGTGAGGAACAGGGATGGAAAGAAAAGGGCTTGGGAAAACGTAACATCACCAGAACAACTGTTGACTTGCTTTCCAGGATATTCACGGCTCTTCTTCTTGCAAATGGCCGAGACTGTTAACACCACCTGAGCACCCTCCAAACCCACTCCTGGGCTGCCACATGTAGGAGCGCCTGGACAGGTAGCTGCTGCCTGGAGAACCCTTTGCCTTCCCTCCCATCAATCTCTTGGCCAAAGAGCAAAGCCCAAACCACGCAGCCTGCACCACTCACCCACACCCAAGACCAACAGTCCACCATCTGCCAGTTTGCAAGGGATGAAACCATTTCAACCACCATAGACAATGGTAAAAATGAAAACCCTGACAGCAACAGCACATTGCCTGAGTGTGAACACTCCCGTCGTTGGTGGGTCACTTGTCAGCTTCAGGTCCGGTTACCATGGTGTGGGACTGCCTTGCAGAGCTGTAACTAGCACATCACTCTGTGCTGGGAAGGGCATGTGCAAGTGCAGGGCCAGTACAGACCCCTTAGCTCTCCGGTGAGATCCATCCCCAAGGAGTACCGCAGGGCTTTGAAAGGGGGTCAGCTGTGGGCCTCTGTCTGGAGAAGGGAACATCCTCCAGCACCTTGCCTGGGAGCTGGTCTTCCCTTCTTCCCTCCTGCTGCCATCCACTGACACAGCATGAGCGGCACTCAGCAGCAGAGGGGCTCCAGCCAAGCTGGGAGCATCCCCCCACCCGTGGGTCTGTGCCAGAGAGATGGGGGGAGACGGGGGGTGGCCGGGAAGTAAAGGAGGGGGAATGACACAAGGACTTGCACTTAGACTACGCCAGCGGGTGCCCCATCGGGCCTGAGCAGGGGCACCTGGCTGGCTCCCTCCCGCAGCAGATGGCGAGCCCTGCTTCCGCTGCTCTGAGCACAGCGCATGCCGCGGCAGGAGCCGGTGGCCAGCTTCCCAAGCCTGGCAGCTTCTGCTCACACCGACCCAGGCATCGATTTGCAAGGTGTCACGCTGGCATGTGTCATAAACAGGACGGCAGGTTGATTTTGAGCACCGACTGGGGGTGGAGGAGCCGGCTGCCGCAGGGATGGGCAGAGGCTGTGCATGGAAATGGTTCCTGCGTTCAGCCTCCCTTTGCTCCTGCAGAGCTGGATTTGTCCACTCTGAGCTTCTGTCCCTGCCTGCCGGGTACCTGCTGGCCCTCTGCACAGCCAGCTGAGGTGCTGGTGGCTGGTGTTCAACAGCAGAGGGGAAAACGGGGGGGGGCCTGTGCACTGCCCCTGAGACAGCATAGTAGAGCTGTCTCCGGACTGCGTGAGGGCTTGGGCTGGGGCAGGCTCAGAGCATTTCCAGGTCACCTCTTATAGGGGCAAACTATGAAACTGAATTGGGGAGTAAATGGCACGTTTGTAAAATGCAGTGCCAAGCACTACTGGCCTGAAACACACACGGCCCTGCACCCCAGACAACTGACACAAGCTCTCCTGATCGCTGGGGATCCACCGCTTTACCCCGTCAGCACCTACACCACCTGTGCCCTGTGTGCAGCAGCCTCCCTCCAAACTCCCTCAGCAGCTAGCCCTGGCCAGGCCCACACACCGCCCTGCTGCTAGGGCACTTCTGGCTAACCTAGACCCTCTCCTGCTTCTTCCTTTGGTCGCAGTGAAGAGGGATGAAGCCCGAGCTCATGCAGCTGGGAAGCTGGGGAGCAGTGCGTTGGCTTCCCTAGGCGGAGGGGACAGCTCAGAAATGAAGCGTTCCTCCTTACAGGCTATGCCTGAAATAGCCAAGCCTGTCAGATCGCCGTCCCCGGCCATGATGGATTAGCCCCTCCAAGGCACAAGGCAATTTATTCATTAGTGACATTTACACCTTGTGGCTGCATTAGCCATTGCGGTTTGGTGACACGTGCTCCAGCTGTCAGTGCTGGGCTTGGAGACAACATGGCTGCTCTGACAATTCAGCGAGGCTTGGCCTGGGCACCTCAGCTTGGAAATCCCTCCTGCCTGTCTCCTCGGCCAGAGCATGCACAGCCTGCTTTGAAAGCCTGCTTTGTTCCCAGACTTCTCCATGAAACGTCCCGCTCCCTCCATTTCCCTCCGACCCTCCCGGCCTTGCAGCACCACTGCTCCACCACAGCAGCCTCCTGCCCCGGTCTTGCCTCGTGTCTCCCATGAAAACTACCACATCTGCAAAGCCTTTTACAGCTGTTCTCATACAGCCCCTCCTCTCCACATGTCTTGCTGAGCATTTACATGCTATTCTGTCCTCCTCAGCTAGGTCCTCCATCAGCTGCACCTTGTTCAGCCCACAGCCAAGCTGCCCTCAATCCCAGTGAAGAAGCACAGAGTCCACGTTCGGAGGCTCCCCCAGCAGACATGCTGCTTTCACCACGATGCTGACCACCACAAGAGCCAACCTGCCTCTCCTCCCCAGGGACAGCACTGGGGTACTGGAGATCAAGAACACCAAAACATGAAGGGTTTCTGTTTTCTAACTTTGGTCTGTTGAACTTACCCTGTCTACAAAGGCTCAGAGAAGTGCTGTGAAATTCTCTGGGAAAGCATAAAGTGATGCAAAGGTGAGGGCAGGATGTGCTACAATGCTCTGCAGGCTGTGCTGTCTCTCCACCAAGCAAGCACGAGGCACGCCAGGGCAGGGAGCATTGTCGGAAGGCCACGCACAGGCAAACCAGCAGGTTATGGTGAGGTCTGGCCACCGGCACGCCTGAGGTCATCACGCGTCCACTGGCGTTTCGCAGCCGGCCCACGGCACCTAGCAGGGAGAGGACCAAAATGATCCAAATGCATGGCCTCGGAGGAGTTCGGGGAGGGGAATGCTTTGGCTAGCTCAGAGGAATGACAGTTTGCAAATCGCATTTGGGGAAGGTGAGAAGAGCTGGAGAGTGTTGGCCAGGGAGCAGATCCAGCAGCTCTCCTGTTTCAGGCAGCCAGCAAGGGATTAGCTTGTTCTCAAACGCAGCTTGCTCCATGCTTTTATCCCTGCTCCCTGTCACTCGCTACAGCAAATGTGACACTTCACACCATCTCCTCACAAAAAACACATCAGGAGTTTCCTCTCACAAGGAACAAGCAATG